AAAAAAAAAGAGCCTATTTGTTTGTAGGGTTTATCCCGAAACTTCTTTTTGCACTTAAACCTCAAAAGGCGTTGACTTTATATTTACGAAAACTTGACTTTGGCGTGTGCTTTTTTCTCTTACAAAGACCATCAACTAACTTTGTCCCCATCTTCTTTATCCTCAAACTTTTTTATTTTTTTTATTTTTTTTAGGGCTCGTGATATAATTATGCAAAGATTTGGGGTTGATTTTGCTAATCTTCAACAACTATATCTTCAATTCTTTTTTACTAGACTCATTTATCAATTATAGTACTAATGACTTTAGGGAAATGAGTGCAATCTATATAGACTTTAGGGAATTTCATTGTAACCATCATTTTAGTTATATGTGTTTTTGTATTTTGCATATTTTGCTAAATATATCTCAAATATTTCAAATTGGGTTATACATTTATTGCCCCTTAGGGTCGAGCCGAGACAATCTCGAGCTTCTTACATCCGAGTTCGAACTCTAACCTTTATCGAGCCGAGCTTGTCAGTTCATCAATGTTAATGAACCAAATTGAACCTAATAAGTTAAAATCGAGCTGAGTTGAGCTCAAGGCTCGTTGATTAAACAAGTTTCGGCTCTATTCGTTGATCATTGATTTATATGGATTATGCAGATTATAAGGTTATACACATATAAAATCCAGTTTAGATGATGGATAGTACTCATAGTAGTAGTTTTTCTTGCTAATTTTTATAAAACATTTTTTATTCATACTATGGTTAGAAACGTAGTGAGATTTTCAAATTCATGGGCCTAAGATATACGCTCAACTTCCGCAAGATGGGCTGGGCTTATAATTTTCTATTATAGTATAAAAATTCAGCTAAGGCCTGATTTATTATTTGCAAGCCCTTTTGAATGCCCAAAACGAAACTCTAATTCAGCCCGTAGGATTATGGACAACACAAAAGGCCCAAATATCTACTAGAGGTGTGACAAGAAACGAGATACCAGTGAGCTCGGCTCGTTTTATAAGCTAAAAAGATCAAAGAATACCAAGAAAAAAAAAAAAAAAGTTACTAATAGCAAAAGGGACATTCAAGATCAATATGTCCCTCAGTAGATGTTATGAGCTACAAATCTCATCAGCAAAAGGGCCTTAGTTTTTATAAGCAAAACGAATCGCGCCCGAACTCGTTAATAAAGGCTTTTAGAGCTCGGCTTCAGCATTGTGAAGAAACTCAAAAAGCAATCTTGTACTTCTTGTAAATCGCCCTCAGCTTCTTACGATCTCCGCGCGACTCATGGAATGAAACGAGTAGTATGGCACAATCCCTGATTAGAAACAATAGGTTCATATGAAACAACAAATGAGTTTTGTGTTTTGTGTATTGTATATTATCATCAAATACTACTACTATACTACTCACATAATCTGTTGTTCGGAAAATCCCGTGTGCAGTTTAAGTGTCTCGCTCCAAAACGGTGCCTTGTTCAGTGTACGCCTGGCAGCATACACAGCCGAGGCAGCAATCATCGAGGGGCTGTACACGAGCGTCTCGTAATTCATCATTCCGAGTTCGGCTAGAAAATACACCATATTCTCCACCTGCATTTGTAAGTAAAGTAAAATTCAAGAATTTTGTATATCCCAAGTAAAAATTTTGTATCCAAAAAAAAAAAAAACTCACTTTCAAGTCGGTTAGAGAGGCCTTGACGAAACGCACGAGAAAAACGTATGGTGTGGGCACTGTTAAACTCCACTCTAACTGCCCCAATATTTGCTTCTCCATCACCAAGATTTGTTTGTCTGTGTAAGTATTGTCTGAAATCGACACCAATTCATTGACCTGCCGAGGAAAATGAAAAATACACAAATAAATAACACTTTTTTATACTTTTGTTGATGATGAAGAAAGTCAATAAGAACACTCTTTTACCTCAGGGGCCCAAATTTCTTCATACTTTGAGGCAATTAGCATTGAACCCAAGCCCACTAACTGTAGCTCCCTTCTTGAGGTGGGCCTACCCGACAGGTATCGATCGAGGATATTGACAGTGAGGTAAAAGGTCTCGGGCGAGAGCTCGAATTTGCTGTGGACCTGAACCAGCCAGTCGATAAGGATTGCACGCATTTTCTCATTTATCTCGGGCTGTGAGTTCATGTAGTCGTGAGCTCGGCCCTCATTCTGCACCCGCAAAGCAAGAAAAAGATTTTAAAAAGAAAAAAGAAACCCACTTTGCAAGCAAATTTGCATTATTTGAAAACAACCTCAGCCGATTTGTAGAACTTGTACATGTCCTCGACATATTCGACAGCAGCCAGGTCATTATTCACATCATCAGCATCAATATCTACTACAGTTTGCTCCTTGGGTTTATTGTTATAACTCAGCCCACAAGCAGCCTATATATATAAAAAAATCGATATAACCAAGAATAAGAAAGGGGGAGAAAGAATAAATTCCACTAAAATTTAATCAATTGCCTTTTTTGTTTACCTTGCTCCTTGCACTGAGAGTCGAAGTGAGGGTTGGAGCATTCTTTTTCGACGGTTTTTTTGCGGGATTTTCTTCTTTGTTGGTCTCTGCAGCAACTCTTTCAACCGTGTCGGGACTTATTTCGATTATCTCCTCAGGCTTAGGCTTAATCGTGGCGGCTTTCTTCCGAGTCGGCTTATGATCCACGGCTCTTTTCTGTAGCAATTAGAGCAAAAGATGTAAAAAAAAGCCAAAAGCAAAGGACTAAAAAAAAAAGACAAGAACACGATTTTCGTTGAAAATAAACCTTATTCTCCGCTGGCACATTTTCTGCATTTGCCACCAACTGAGCACAAAATCCCCTGAAAAACAAACAAATAACGAATAAACCGTTTGCAGACAAAAGATTCGATCTTTTTCATTCACTCCAATTAAATTCGACACAAACTTGCTTCTTTTCTTTGTTCAAATACCTCGTAACGGGACGAGTAACCTGGGAAAGGGGCTTCCCCTCGACCCCACGAACAGCAACGACATTGCCTATGTCCCCGAGTGCCCGACGATTCTTCCTTTCTTCTACCATGATTTTCTGCTTATTATCCCCAGCTACTATCTCCCCTGCTAGTTGAAACCCAATAGCCAGCATAAACATACAAAAGTAGAGAAATTTAATCCAAAATAATCAAGAAGCCACTGGTTTCAATGTACTACATCGAGCGAGAAAACAACATAAACCCAATAACCAACATAAACACATAAAAGGAGAGAAATTTAATCCAAAATAATCCAAAAAAAATAAAAAAAAATTCAAACAGAAACAAACACCAAGAACAAGGAAAAAAAATCTGATGAAACGTATTAAGAATCAGACAACTATCTTGAAGACAATCATACGGAAAACCCAAATTCCGTACAAAAGACAGCACAAAACCCATTAATCTAATTCCATTATCATCGGAAAAATCGAAACAAATCAAGAAAATTTCAACCCATCACCGCCAATCAAAAAAAAAAAAAAAA